ATCAGATGGCTCCAAGCTCAAACTTTCCACTACTTAAACAGCAAGGTTCAAAATAAATCTGCTCAGTGTTCGTAACTTTGCTCAATAATGGATTGAAAATCCTACCTGAAACAACCTGTAAGGTCAGAGGGTGAGTCACGCATCACTCCCCGCAGTGGACACAAAGGGGTACGTCTAAGTACTGCTGGCCCAGACAACATATAGTGCTGGTGCTGCTGCATTCGAACGTTCATCACCGGGGGTAGGGGGTGTTGTGTGTGTGATTTGCATAAAATATAACTACAGCTCCAAAGAAAGTTCGTGATACCAGCAGTAAAGCTAAGAGGAAAACTGAGAACCACAGTTGAGTTAGAGAAATTACTGTGAGATTTGTTAAGGTCCTGGAAAAATGAATACTTGAGTTTAATTTTGGGGCCTCAGAACCAATGATTAGGATTTCCATTATTTCTTTATTATTTCATTATTTCCATTATTTCTGAACATAAAAACTATATTCAGTTCTCAAAATGCTCAGTGTTCAAACAGGGATTTGGAATGAATTGAGTTCCACAACTGAGGTATAACTATATATATAATCATTTTCACTTTTAGAAACTAGATACTCCACTTTTACTTTTTCTTTTTTTTTTTTTCGTTAGTACTGGAGATCAAACCCAGGGCTTTGTACTGGACTACATCCTCAACCCTTTCCTGGTTTTTATTTTTGAGACAGGATCTCCTTAAGTCACTAAGTTGCCCAGCCTGGGCTGGGGCTGGAATTTCTGATCCTCCTGCCTCAGCCTCCCAGATGCTGGAATTGTACAGCCACCACATTTTACAGCTAGAATTTGATGCCAACACACTTGGCTACTCAGCTTTTCTTCTGGTGATCTATCTGGTATTTTTTAGATTCATTGTGGAGCGGCATTAGAAAAGAGAATACTGACTCGATCATTATCAAAGCTTCCTGAAGTTAACACTTACTAAACTTAAATGAACACTTAGTGACACTAATACACTCAGTAAGGTGAAAAGATGAAATGATAAATACAGCATTATGAGTCAAGAGTAGAATTTGGGGTTTCACTCTACATCTCAGATTACCAGTTTTTCTGTCTGCAAAATAAAGAGCATACACATCGGGGATGACACATACAGGGTACATAGTTGCCACTCCCTGCTTCCCCACCCATGACTGACAGTAATCATTCATACCATCCTTCTGTCCAGAACCTGGGTGCAGCTCCGGAATCCTTCCCGAAGCATGTGGTCCAGTTAGTCACAGCTCACACCCAAGTTGAAATGTACTTGCTATCTTTGGATGTGATAATCTGTAGAGTCTTCCAGTTCTAACTCCAAAAATACACTATCAGAAATATGAAAAGGTGGGGCTGGGGATTTAGGTCAGGGGCACAGCACCTGCCTGGCAAGCGCAAGGTCGTGAGTTCAATTCCTGGTACCTCAAAAAAAAAAAAACAAAAAAAAAAAAGAAAGAAATATGAAAAATGCCTAATTTAGAATGTCCTTAGGCCTTTCCAGTATCTCTTTTCTCTAGCTATTAAGTTTATGTCATGTAGAACCCGGGACATGGATGTGCTCATATCCTGCTGTGACTTTACCAGGCTCCCCAGTGTTGGCCTTTGAAGCATGTCCATGCCAACCTAAAGAGAGTTGTTTGATTTATTTACTTTTCCTGTTGGGCTTTTCTAAATTTCTTGATTTGCGTATCTTAGTAACCTTTATGCAATAGTGCTCTCCCAGTGAAGTTTCCTATCTTTTGATCTTTTTGATACAGGGTCTCGGTATACAGTTCAAGTTGGCCTTGAGCTCACTTTGTAGCACAGGATGGTCTCAAACTCACAGTGATTCTCCTGCCTCAGCCTCCTGAGTGCTGGGATTATAGACCCGCCCGGTGGGTATTATAGACCACACCCAGCTGAGGTTTCCTTTCTTTATTCTTCCTTGCTTTTCATGCACATTCACACAGGCTTTTGAATGTGGAATCACCTGACTTCCTGGCTATCAGAACACTTTTCCCAATGAGTTCATGAATAGGAAGTTCGTAGCTGCTCCCTGGCCACTCCCACCCTTTGTCTAAGCCTAGGCTTACTGTCTTACCTCAGTGTCCGAATTATTTGATCTGCCTCCTCCCTGCTGATTACCAACCAGGATGGGTGCTTATACATTCATCTTCAGTTTCCGAGTAGCTGTCTGTTTAGTCTCCACATTGTTTATTTTGGCATTGTATATGTGAGAGTAGAAATAGCTTATAGCTGAGCTTCTCTGCTTTATTCCTCCAGTGTAATCCTACAATTGTCAATTGTGTAATTATGAGCATGCAAAAAAAAAGAAAGATATATTTAAGTCTCTAGGCGCTTAGAGCTCTGCTTTTTAAAACTTGCACCCTAATGAGATTCAACATGTCCTTGTTTGCCTCTTGCTGTTGAAGTCAGTGAGAAGGAATGCCTTGCTTGTAAGGTGGAAACCGATTTGTCCCCGTGTAACATCTCAGTGGGATCCTTTTACTTCTCAGTTTATACTTACTGCAACCCAAGACATTTACAGACAAAGGTGTGCCTGTGACTACCTTTAACACTTCCTTTACCTCAGAGCTGAAATCCAAGATAAATGATTATAATTCCTGATGACCATAAAGCTGTTCCTCTTCCTCTTTCTTTTTCTTATCTTGAGACAAGCTCTTACTCTGTAGTCTAGATTGGCCTTGAACATATTACTGTATCTCGCTCTGGCCTCAGGAGCCTCAGCCTCCCAAGTGCTGGGATTGTAGCACACACCACCATGACGTACTTCACCAGAAAGTCTCTTTTAAAATAACTAACTTTGGGGGCTGGGGATTTAGCTGAGCGGCACAGCGCCTGCCTGGCAAGCACAAGGTCGTGAGTTCGATTCTCGGTACCGGAAGAAAAACCAAATAAATAAATAAATAAAATAACTAACTTTGCCAAAAGGGAATGAAAGAAGAAAGGCTGCTAATCTTAACTTTCTAGTTACCTGCTATAATTTACTGGCAATAATTTGTAAGGGGAATAAAAGTAATAAACACTTAATTCCAAATGATTACACACACCACAGTGTGTGTTGCAGTCTCACCCATAGGGATGAGCTTATCTTCCTGGAAAAGGCGGCCAGTGACCGCAGGCCTCCCCCGTGGCCCAGCTGTTGTAGCCCTGGCTGGGCTGGCTTAGATAACATCCTGTTCCGCACAGTGAAACGGATGCCGCAACCCCAAGCGTTCGCCTGCTGGGCGTGGCTCTTCATAACAGCGTTTGGAATTGTTGTGAGGTAACTACCTGTCTGATAGGGCTTAGGAAATATGTGATCTGGAGAGCAAAAAAAATAATAATATAAAACTTAGTCCAAGTATTATCCCACGTTGTTTCTAGTCACAGCAAGAATAATAGTAACAGCACCGTCATCAAGGGAACCCTTGTTTGCTGAGTGCTGTGTGCATGTGGTCTCCTCTCTTACACTGCAAGGCAGCTAGCTGTCCAGCTGGGATGGAAAGGCCAGGCAAGCACCGTGGAGTCACACAGCAGGTACGTGGCAAGGCCAAGGCTTGAGCTAGGTCTGTCTTACGTCCAAGCTGTAGGCACCACATTCTCCATCTCCAGAAGGTGGCAAAATCTCCAGAGAAAAACACTTAGCTGCTCTATCTAGCATGAGCCTAACTAGACCCTTTGTCTGTGAAGGTGTCCCCCCAGCCTCTGTACTTTGCTGGGATTCTGCTTAGTCCCAGAACCACTCATTCACCAAAGGTACAAAGGATCATCAAATCATGGGAGAGGGCTGGGGATATAGCTCAGTGGCACAGTCTCTGCCTGGCAAGCGTGAGGTCCTGGGTTTGATTCCTGGTATCAAAAAAAAAAAAAGGAGACTCTACATTTTTAAAATTCACCTAGCACCCAGGAGGCTGAGGCAGGAGAATTGCTATGAGTTTGAGGCCAGCCTGGGCTACATAGTAAGTTCAAGACCAGCCTGGATTACACAGTGAGACCCTGTCTTAAACAACTAAAAAAAACAAACAAACAAA